AAAGGCCACACCAAAAAAGTTTTTTTCTAGAGGGCATCCGCAAGCTTGTGGACAGGTGGACCAAGTGTGTTGCTTGCAAAGCAGGGGGACTATGTCGAAAAATAAGACAAAAAAATTATGTGTATATATATATACATGTAGGAAAATTTTGGAGCGGGTTATCGACACGCGGCGATGTAAATCGTGAGGTTGCCGAGAGATGGTACTCTTATATCATGTACCCGTACTAGACGGGACAAGGGAACTCAAGCCAGAGGATGGCCGTACAAGGAATCAAACCCACGACACCCATTTGCTGAGAATTGCTGAGAAAAAAAGGTTAAACTGTTTACTCAAGATGTCTCTTGAGAATCCATTATTCCTCAGCCTTTGGTGTAGGAGTTCACTATTAAAGTTAAATCCTTCTGTCAGAGCAGATTAGACGAAATCTTTTCAGTTGGGAAACTGTAACATTTTTGATAATATGGCTAGGAATTTTACTTCTGGCATTGAGCATACTAATGAATTCGAAGTTAAAATCCCTTCTTTTATCGTATATATCTGTGATGAAACAAGCTGTCCCATTCTGCACAAAAATATTCAAATCCAGATGATGGGCATATTTGTAAGGGGGAAGTTTTCTCCTAATTCCAGACAGTCAGGATATATTCGATGAAGATGTCTTTGTACTGCAGTTATTAATAGCAATTAGATCATCAATATACCTGAAAGTATTTAAGTATGCTTCTGGATTAGGGGGTTTCATTCATCAGTTTTGATTCATAGTAAAATTAAAATACATTTGCCATATTAGTAAAGTAATTGCTGCCCATTGGAATCCCAAATGTTTGCCTGAAAATCTGATCACCAATTTTGATGAAATTATTGTCCAAGCAATTCCTCAAAATGATAGAGAATACCTTTTCACTAATGAAAGTATATATGTGAAACCCGACTCTACATTGTCCTGGAAAAGCTCAACAATGTTATGATGCAGAATATCTAACGGTATTTTATTGTATGAAGTTGAAAAGTTCCATGAAATTACAGAATTGGCTTTCCTGGATTCATTCAGTGCCTTGATGGCTTGTAGCACCTTACTGTTTTTTATGATATGTCATTTTTATGATGAAACTGAGGTGGTGTACCATCCTGCTGCCAAATGCATAACCCTAGTTCGCCATCAGAAGAAGTAAGCACCAGGTCTAACGAGATGGTGTCCCTGAGAAGCCAAAATTAAGATTCACCATCAACTATACCGTGTGGGCTTCGCAGCGGACCTCACCAAGGAGTGGATGAGGCGCCACCTGCCTCCCGGACTCCTCCCAACTACATGAGATCTCCCCCGGTCAAGGACATGGGGGTGGAGGCGAGACTAGATGGTGGACCTGAGATATGGAGAGTGATCGTGTGCCTTCGTATAAACTGTGTTTTATTGTATGTCTGGATTGCATAGTGACTTACCTTGTATAATTTTTCCCGTCTTACTCCTGTATGAGTAGCGTAACATACAATATATCCCTTGTTATTGTTATTGAATATTTTAGTCCTTCCGAATCTCATTGGTAATTTATCTGCACTTGCGGACAAAATTGAGGCAAAACCGTTTTCATTAAGATTTTAATTACAATAGTAAATTAGGTGACATTACGTTACTATAATTTTCCATGCACATCCCAAACATCGCATGAAAAGATCTTACAAATTAATGAACATATGAAATGAAACGATCTTAGGATTGGGGACTTATATTTGGTATGAAATGACCGCGATGAATGGTTGGAATTGAGAAATCAAAAGGGTAGATTCTATGAATCGGCTATGACAACGTTTTTGAATACGTTGATGACGCCATTATTGTGAGGGATTTTCTTTTTCTCCCTTCATGTTCCATTTTTTATGGCTACGATCCCCTGACTGTCAAGGACGAGGTGGGGAGGGGAATCACAGGGGAGGGTAATTGCCGAGTCTACGTCAAATGATGACTTTGCCAATGTGCTTCGGACACGTCATCCCCCGATGAGAATTTTATTGTAATGGCTTCCCTTGTTTTCTTTCATCTTTCATTACTCATAGCCAAAGGGCCCTTGACCCTTAATGACGAGTACGGAAAGAGAAGTAGTGTGCATGATGTAAAAGAAAATGTATACTGTACAAGACTCGCTGGTCCGGTTGCCTTCCACGGATGGCCACGGGTATGGGAGAGAGTGGAGCAACTAATAAAATATGAACCCCCCCGATTTTGTCACGCTCCTCTTTTTAGAACACCGGCCTCCTGAAGGCAATGGGTACCGATTCGGGGAGGGGAGTCAGTGTGTATTAATGAAAGAAGATATACAAGAATCCAGGATCGCCTCGCTTTCATTCAATCGAGAAGATGGAAGGTGTGAAGGTCTGACGCTGCGCTTAACAAACCCAACTATAATTTCGCCCTAGCGTTGTTCACCGAGAAGGAAGGCAAGAAGACATTCAACTTTGTTCCTGCAGTAGCTGGTTACGTAAATGTGTCGGAGCTCGTCAGGTGGGGGATTCTATCTGGACGTTGATCTGAAGATCGCATCTTTATTACAGGACAACTTGGAAGAAATATCAAAACTCATCGTTTGCTCGGGCCCTTGTTATCGTCGGTGACTCGAACGTCTTGAGGGAGCGATGGAAAAAGATTCAGGAGCTCAGATTTCTTTCAGTCAGTTTCCCGATCCTAGGATTGAACACATTATGGATAGGATCGGATCGGTGGTGTGCTCCGAGTCAGCCGAGGAAGTGTCGGTGATCCTTCACGTACGAACCATCAATACTCCCGAGTCTGGGTCTGAACACATCATGGGCAGGCTGAGGCAGGCAATAAGGGCGTGTCGAGAGGCAAGGTTGAGGGTGCTGGTGACGGTATGCGCGATCCCGAGCCGGCTAGACTAGGGAGGAATCACGTGGTCCAGGTCGGATGGTGTTAACTACAGGTTGAGGAATATATGTATCGCGGAGAGGCGGAGTTTCTGGACACTAGGGAGGCTTTAAGTCGCTGTAGAAGTCCGATGGCTAGAGATGGAGTCCATTCTTCCAAAGGGAGAGCTGTAGCAGTCGGATTGGCTAGCATGAAGGAAAATAAGCCCTTTTTAGGGTTGTAGATGGGGGGGCAAGGGATCACAAGCAAGAGACAGCCACTACGAGCAGCTTTAGACCGCCGGGTACTGATGTGGAGGAAAGGCAGGAAAGACTCAAGTGTTTATACGCGAAAGCACGCAGCTTACGTAATAACATAGACGAGGTTAGAGGGAGGGCACTGGACAAAGGTTTCGATGTCATCGGAATAACCGAGACAATGGGGTGGTTCTCACATTTCGGATAAGGAAGTCGAGATCGAAGCGTACGACATGTTGCGGAAGGATAGGCTAACTGTGGAGCAATCGTACACTTATAGCGCAAGATCGGTGGGGTAACAGGGAAGATCGTGATAGGAATTTCCTTTAGGCCCCCTAACACTTCTCCCGAGGATGAAGCAACATATTTTGCACTCATGTGCATGATCGGAGAGATCTCGAAGCAGGTATTGCTCTTCGGAGACTTTAACATGCCAAACAAAGATTGGTCAGTGCCGCGAGGGGGGTGCGAAAGGGATAGGGAATTTCTCGTTGAGGTGCAGGACGCTCTTCTTGTTCAGTACGTAAATGAACCGACTCGGGAGGAAGCTTTATTGGATTGAGTTTTTGCGACAAACGACGATCTGGCACGAGACGTTAAAGTACGGGAAAACTTTGGAGAATCGTACCACTGAGCGATCACTTGGAATATCAACCGGACGAAAAGTAACGCCAAACCGAGGAAGGTTTCGTACAACTATAAGCAGGGTAATTTCGAGAGACTACATGAATGCGTTTCTGGAATCGACTTCGTGGCTGACTTCGTGGTGCGGCTTCGTGGGCTTACCGGCCTGTAATTTCCTGGATTACTCTTTTCACCCTTCTTAAAGATCGGTATGACGTTTGCTAGTCTCCAGTCCTTAGGTACTTCCCCGCCCGAAAAGCTGCTTTCGAATATAATTTTTAGCGGAACCGATATTTCTCTCGCGGTTTCCTTAATGACTCTCGCAGGAATCCCATCGGGGCCGGTCGCCTTGCCCACCGCCAACTTCCCTATCGTATTCACGATCGTCAGCTGCTTTCGAATATAATTCTTAGCGGAACCGATATTTCTCTCGCGGTTTCCTTAATGACTCTCGCAGGAATCCCATCGGGGCCGGTCGCCTTGCCCACCTTCAACTTCCCTATCATATTCACGATCGTCTCCTCGGTGATGGAAATATCCTCGATGCGCGCCGAGGTCACCTCCTCCAAAGTCGGTGCCGAGTCGGATTCCACGATTGAAGAGCTACTACTTCTATAGATCACATGTGCCACTTCTGACAATGCCTTAACCCTGGGGAGCAATTTTGAGAGAAATTTTCACATAGTGGGGATAATTTTTGCACTTCATGTAGGTTCATTCTGTTCCACTCTTCAGAAACTATTCTTAAATATCTGCACTCCCCAGTTTAAGAAAGTTTTCAAAGTGGATAAAGGATTATCTGCCCCAATCAAGGAGTGAAATATCTTGAAACCCTATTGCTTGCAATAGTGGTACTTTGATGAAGAAAGAATCATTTTGTGACTTAACCCTGCAGTTTAAAGTTCTTTGACCCTTTCCAAATAGGCTGGAAGAGCAGGGACAGTGTCCCAAAATTGGTGGATGAATATCTGTCAGGAAGACTGATGGTTGATGAGTTTGCCACACATCAGATGAAGCTGGAAAGCATTAATCATGCCTTTGACTTAATGCATTCTGGTGCCAGGTAGGTTCAAAGATTTCCATATAGGCCTAAATGTGTGTAGCAAATAAGCTTAAAAGAAGAAATTTGACATTTCTTTCCAGCCTGCGCTCAGTGATCTTGTTCTGAGTCCTGTCTCCAGCTGTTCAGTAACAACCTGGGTTTGGTGCTTTTTGTTTTTTTTTTCCCTATTCCTTTCAAAAAGTTTTCTTTTTCCAATGGCAAAGTTTATTTTCCCGATGATCGCCTTGCTTACATGCTCAATGTCATGAGAACCATTTTCAATGAAATAGCAATTGGGTTCTAGCCCTATTTTATTGAATGAATTCAAAGGAGGAAAAAAATTGTGCATATTTGTCATGGTCTCCAAACATGGCAACATGACTGTCTCACAGATTAAAGTTCTTCCCTGACAATACTGATAAGAACTGCAATAGGAATCTACAAACAATCATAAGTCTGATAAATAGAGTATTCTTCCTCTCCTTGTCTTCGAGTGGGCAAGCTCATCTCTATGGCACTGGTTCATCACCTTATCACCTTTCCACAACAAGCAGATAGCATAACATGCTGTCAAGTTTAATGGCCTTATGCAAATCTGTGAAGAATAATAATTCAATTTTGATTGTAGCAGTGTTGGAATGTTAAGATAAAGCATTAGTATATGTACTGAATGAGTATACAGTCAACAAATATTACACATTAGCATGAAGTCCATGCAAAACGGAATGTACCTGCCAAACGCAGCTCTAGATCTCTATCACGAGAAACTTTGTACCAAGCATAAAACATGGAGAAACTAAACTAGGTTCACCTTGCAAAGCAAAAACAATCACAACACATTATAGCTGCCTATGTCCTCATTTTAGGTAGGTTACATCATAGGAAAAGGGAAACCATGAGTATAAAAGTATCTGTCCTATTATGTGAAAGAGATGAATTTCTTTTTTTTTTCTCCCTAATATTGCTATATATATATGAGGACCTAAGAAAGAGATGTTTACGCCTTTGTGCAAGTGAACAACGGACACAGTCACAAGAGGAAACACATACAATTATGGTACGGAATACAAAGGTGTGTGTCACTTCATCCCGAATACACTTGGGAGACTCATCAAAAGATATTGGCTGTTTAGATCTCCAAGTCATCATATCCACTACCCTCCTGGACTGCTTCATTGGACTCATCATCCTCTCCAGACTGCCTCGAATGTTGGGCTGAGTCTGGAAATCAACACAAAACATTTCAATACCTTGTCTCACATGAATTTCAACTTGGTATAAGCAAACTCAATCTCATTTTGTCTTTACTTGGTCTCTCAAATTTGTCAAAGTTCTGACTGGTGTTAATTCTAATCTTTCTGTTGCTTTTTCTTATCTTGGTACAAAATATCCTATGAGTTGTGACCTGGACTTTGAACCAGATTAAGCCTAAAACTAATGAGAGTTCCAAGGCAGGAATGAAACAATAAACATCAAACTTAATTTGCTAATTGAAAAAGGAAATTAAGCAAAAGCAATTACCAAATGCAAGAGATTTTTCTTTTTTTTATTACACATTTTCATCATTTTCTTTTGTTTGAATGCAGATGTTCCATTAATAACTTTCAAGGAGCAAGTATCTTGCAGAATTTATAACACTGTCCAATGTCTACTACGCTTACTAATCAATGATGCTATACTGTCGAGCTGTATGGATGACTGAAGGGCACATAAAACTTTATGGTTGCAAGTGAAGGCAAGCTTTATTCAAGCAGAGGATTGTTAGCTAAGGTTGATTTGAAGTTTCAAGAGGTTTCATTCAAATTTAAGCATATAAATATCAATTTTTATTTTCGATAAATGAAGAAATAGTTGACTAATAATTGAAACCAGGAAGAATTTGAAACAATGAATCAAGTCCTTTCCTCTAAAGCCATGGTCATGAGAAAACATAGAGTGGAGTCCTGAAAGCCAATTAATTCTAGCTAGCCTGGTTTTTCTCCTGGAGGGCAATGTCTCACAAAGGCTCCTTGGAGAAAGCAAGAAGCTGTGTCAGCAAATCGTCTTTCCCATAAGTCACAAGGAATACAATACATTAACAGGGGTTGCGCTAATCTTCTTGCCTTAGGGGTTCCAGGGACCCTTAGGTCTGATAGGAAAGGGTCCTCGGAAAGTTTTGAGGGTCTCATTGCAAATGAGGCATGATTAAATCTAGTAAATTTGTATAATAATAATAAAAAAATATTACAAGTTCAGCATTCCATGTTTATTCACTGATTTAGCATAGTCAAACAGCAATCCAGCAGCGTTGGGACTACTTCCAACGTTTCTTCTGTGACTTAAATACCCCCAAGGCATCTTCAAATTTAAATTCACCCAGTGATGGCCCATTCAAGTTTATTGTCATTAGACAGTGCATTTGTTGATCAGAGAGGCAACTTTGCAAATTATTCCTCAGTAAATTTTGTAAACTGAAACCCCTCTCACATTCTACACTTGTCAAGGGAACTGCCAGTAAAATGAGCACAAGAACAGCAAATTCTGGGACGTCATCAGAGAATTGTTGAATGGTAAGTTTTATGCAATCAAAAATGTTCCTCCCTTACATGCTTTGCAGCAAGAATTTGAATTGCAGATAATCCCCTTTACAGTGTTCTGCATCTATGAGCCCTGAAACAGGTCCATCCTTACTTTCCCTTTCTGCTCCATAAAAATCCAACAGCTTTTCCAGTTCCTGTTTGCCATGGCCTGGCACATCTGCTTTGCTATTTGGAACAATGTCTGGATCTAAGACAAATGTCAAGCTCTCCAAAATTCCAAGGCTCTTTTCAGGAAACTTTTCCTGCAGTTCTTCACTAGTGCTTCATAAAAAGCATTTCTAGCATTAACTATTGAATTGATGGATTTTGACACACAATATCCTTGATATGTTCTACTTTCATCAATTTCTTTCAAGGCAGAATAGAACTTATCCTCACTGTTATCTTTCATGCAAGTCAAGCTCTCCAATGAAGCCCTGATCATTGGAGTGATGCATTTTGAGTCTAATACATTCCTCTGAAAAATATTGATCATCTTGTTGAGAATAGGCATTGTTTCCAGTAAGACTGCCATTGTTTCAATACATTGGAATGATCTGAAGTATTTCAAGAGACCTTTTGCCTTTGCTCCAGCCTCACCCTTATCAGAGGCTGCCTCATTTTCTAATGAAGCAATGATTCCTTTCCAGTCATGGGAAATTGCTTCAGCTGCCTGGTGCATGCTTAACCACCGAAATTCTATGGATTTTTTTCAGCGAAAGCATTTTGTTCAACGGATCTGTGACCTTACAACCCTCTCTAAGTTTATTATACCTCACTGGTGATGCAGAAAAATAAAAAATTAGGGTTTTTATGTGCTGCTGGAACTCACTGAAAACATCTATTTCCTTTGAAGTTTGACTGGCAGCAAGAGCAAGTCTGTGGCAAAGGCAATGAGTATGGAGTAGAAAGGGTGACACTTGAGACAATCTGGCTCCTAAACCACCCCTTGCACCCATCATTACTGCAGCTCCATCTGTTGCCAACCCAATTATCATTAAGGTGTCAATACCCTTTCCCCTCAATTTTGAAAGAAGAGAGTCAAGAATGGTTTCAGCCTTTCCATCTGGCATATCAATTTCAGCAACAAATCTGACAATAGCAGATGCCATTTTTATATATCTCACATAGATAGAAAGTTTCTTAAACTCACTGAAAGCATCTATTTCCTTTGAAGTTTGATTGGCAGCAAGAGCAAGTCTGTGGCAAAGACAATGAGTATGGAGTAGAAAGGGTGACACTTGAGACAATCTGGCTCCTAAACCACCCCTTGCACCCATCATTACTGCAGCTCCATCTGTTGCCAGCCCAATTATCTTTAAGGTGTCAATACCCTTTCCCCTCAATTTTGAAAGAAGAGAGTCAAGAATGGTTTCAGCCTTTCCACCTGGCATATCAATTTCAGCAACAAATCTGACAATAGCAGATGCCATTTTTTATATATCTCACATAGAAAGTTTCTTTTTTACTGTGATATCACAACTCTCATCCAGTATCACCCCAATGAATGGTGAAGACTTCATTTCCATATCATGATGACTGTATTGATGGCATCCTGCATCTCTTCAACAGTTTCATGATGCTTGTATGTAGAGTTTTCTTTCTGTAAAGATGGACATCCATTGGCAGCCTAATGGAAGATAATTAAATATATGTGTAGATTATAAAAGATTTTGAGAAAGTTCATGTGGTTCCAGAAAAGCAAATCACACTCTTGAGTTTCACAAACCTGGAGTGCAATCAAAGAGGAAAACTTGCTGGTGGCAACATTTTCCTTTGCCATGCAGTAGGTAGTTCTCAACATGACAAGGTGATTATCTATTGACTTTTCTCTGTAGCTTTAGTGAAATCTTTGTGGAGCTTAATTCCTTTGAGGGATTCCTGATGGTCCTTGCCTTTCTCATGTCTATCAAAGGCCGACTTCTGCAAATTACAACTGCCAGATCCAGTGTAGGGATTTTTCTTCTTGGCATTAGCGCAGAAATCAAAGAAAGCTCTTCCATCTCTACAGGAAAGCCAGAGATACATGTTGACCCACTCCGTTTTCCATTTTCTATCGTTTCTCTTTCGTTGTAATTCGTGGCTAACATGCTGCTCGACTTCCTCATCATCCCCCATGTCCATCCCTTTCCCTTTGCTTGAACTAGGCAATGGTCTAAGGTAATTTTCCTCTTCCTGGGCATCCTAAGTGAAATGAATATATGACCTTCATTTAGGCCTAGGCTGTTCCTACCTTATCTTCTGTGACACTAGGCTTATTTTCAGGAATGCCTGAACGTATGCAAACGGTTATTCGAAAAAACTAACATAAGCTTTCCGCTTGAAACCAAAAGAGAAGAGCGTAGTTCTGGAGCTGCCTGAGGCCATAGTTAAAAGAAACGGAAGCACATCAATGAGCACGTGATCACAATACAACTTAGGTTGTGCTCCTCACTTTTCACGTACGCACACCGTCTCGGAAATTTCTTCGCTTCCCTAGCAGGGTCACTTACACATGGCGACTATTTAGGCATGTTTCAAAATAGGAAACTGCCAACAGGTCTGAAAATCGGCTTGAGTAAACAAATTCCTCGTGCGTCCTGGGGACCCCGGTGTTATTCTTTTGTGCGTCCTGGGGACCCCGGTGTTATTCTTTTGTGCGTCCCGTTGGAATTTTGTGCATATAGGACACACATTTGCGCGTAAACGCAACTCCTGATTAAGTTTATTTCCCATTAACCCTTTGGCATCAAAATATAAATAAGTCAGCACCACCAACCAAGTTCTTTCCATCTCTCATATAAAAATGTATAACTTACCTAGAATGTTGCAGTTTTTACTATTTGGAATATTTGAAAAAAGTCAACTTAGGCATGGATGTCAAAGGGTTCAAAGATGAAAAGGTCCCAACCCATGAATATTAAAATTTGAACTGGCATTATTTTTGCTGATACACACTTAACAGACACATCTGCAATGGTTTCACAAAACAAGCTGCACAAGGATGACTATGGTACTAACCTTGTAACTGCTGAGACCATGTTTTTATATTTAATTTGCCCAGACAAGACACCTTAATCTTGACAGCAACTGTGACATATCTAACCTCATACCTCTAGTTCAGTAGTTTTTTTTCTAAAATAAGAACCCATCTATATTAGGGTTTCTACTTGAGGATGCCCTCTTTTTCCCACCTTTTTCTCCTTCATAGTTCAGCCCAGTGATTGAAAACTTAGAACTGTTGGAATGTGAACATGAGATTCATAAACAATAGAAAGGAAAAATTAATAGTGTAACAATGATTCATGAAAGAGAGGAGGAGACTTACCACAAGATGTTGTGGAATGGGAACGAGTTAAGGGGACCTCAAGGCCATGTCGATCCACACACCAGCAGTAACCAGTTGAAGCATGACATTGCAATGGTTGATAATATCCATCCTCATCACATAGTGGCATGTAACCACCTACTCGAGAGAAAACCTACCTTAGAATCATTTGGCTTCACAAGTAGACATGGCAGTTACATTGAGATAATGGTACCGATCATATGCTGGGGAATACGATCACGGGTGGCATGGCAGGGGCGATCAGCTCGATGGAAACACTTGCACCATTCCTTTGCAGAGATGAAGATGTCCCTTAAAAAACACAAAATTAAAGCAATTAAAACTTCCTGCTCCTTTCCCAAGAGAGAAGCTTATCATGTTACTACTCACTTGTTGAGGTCACATCTGTCAAGATAGGGACGGAGGCAAGGCTCATTCTGATTGTGTTCCAGGTCATAGAGTTCCTTGACAGAGAGCATTTGGTCCTTGTTGTCATCCAGGTGCCGGAACATCCACTTGACCTCCTTGCGACAGTAGGATGGAAAGTAGTCTACAAAAAAAACATCAACTGTTAATAATACCATCTATCTGTACAATAAATCCCTTACTACCCACTCTTGTTGATGAATGATTTTCATACCTTCATTGGGAATCATGACCTCCTTACTGAGATTCTCCTGCTTTCGCTCATCCTCTTGCAGAACCACAAACCAGTCCAAGAGACGGTTCCCCATTATTTCTAGGGCCTTCTTCCCACAGTCTGTATGCAAGCAGCAAATATATTTCAGTGAACTTTGAAAAACAGATGAAAAGTGAGGAGGGCATGTAAACCTAGCCCTATGGTGCAAGTCAGACAAAAACCATATTTTAAAAAATATTTTTCAGGTTCATACCTTAAAAAAAAAAAGTGAAACAGGCTGGCAAACACTACCAAATGACAGTGGGTTACAATATTAATGTCTTAAAATTTTAATCCATTACCTAGTCCCTAAAGGACATAAAGACACACCAGAATACAACACAACAGAAGCATCAGGAAGTCATCCTAATCCAGAGAGTTGTTTACAATTTCATGAAAATGAATTTGAACTAAATTTGGAAGTTTTCTTGGGTGTGGGCTTTACAACTACATCACATGTTGGTTAGTATGGTTTTGTCAGGTCAGTTTGCAATATGAATGTGATCAGGCTCATATTTGTAGAATACTTTGAAAATCAATTTTTGGTAAGAGGGGTACATTACTGCCCTTTCTGAGGAAGGTTATTAAATTAATCATCTATGAGCCTAGATTGATGCAAGAACAAAATGTTATGTAATATCAAGAAGGGAATTCACTACATTATTCACACAGTAGGAGTGACCCAAGAAGCCACACAGGAAGGGAGAGAAAAGAGATCCAGAGATCATAATGATCAGTTGGCCTGTCTGGATAGAAATTCTACTGACAGAGAAGTTTTGCCAATGAGTTGCATGTGTGCCCTGCTACAATGAACCTTGAAGACCTAGGGTTGAAAAGCACAAGCCCCATGTTCACAAACTGCAACTTTGTCATGTTGCAAAGAGGAAGACCAAATGTAGACACTTTAGATGAACCATGGATATAGACAAGTTATGCCAGCAAAGTTCATGTCATTTCTTAATGCCCTTGTGGTGATGAAAAACATTTAAAAAGTGGGAGCTGGAGTGCAAAGAAAGCTTTTTTTTTTTTTTTTAAAGATTATTGGTTGGTGCTGGCTTTTCCAATTATGGGAAGTTGTGGACAAGAATGATCAATGAACATCAATTTCAAAAATTACCAGGAATAATATTTTTTTTTACCAGGGTCACTTTTGAAAAGGAAATCCATCAGTATGGACCAGAGCCTCCAAAACTATCTGTGCACCAGGATGAGACATTGAACCAAACATAGAAAGAAAACTCAAGAGAGAGAGAGAAAAAAAAAGCAACAATCAATTTATGAGCAGAGATCCCTTGGTGGAGGCCACCAAGATGAAAGCATTCCAGTGCATGCGCCCTCTCCTCCATCTTCCTAAAGGATCCCCTAGCTAAGGGGCCCCCTAACAGACCAACGTGAATACCATTTTTAGGGGAATCCTTACCTAGGGGTCCCCTAACTGTTATGATATACTGTTCCTGGAAGAGTGACGTAAATATGGGCCTTAATGCAAACTCTGTATTAACAGCTGTTGATCTGTTATTATTTTAAAAGAATGTTATTAAAACTATATCCAGCGAAAGGCAAGCCAAAGATTGAATTTTATTGCACTAAATGTTTGGTATGACCTGCATGGCATGCAACCAGCAGAACAAAGGCGTCTCCTTTGCTAAACTACCAGGAAACGCTCTGGTCCACTGCAATGATTTCCAATTTCTTTGAAATATGACTAATAGCCTTGACTCGCCACGAAGCATTTCAATGAAATACCACAAAGCTCTTTAAAAATTATCGGCCTAGGCTCAGTGCAATTTTCTTAGTAATAGCTTAGTCAGAGCAGAGATTTTTTCTCAAATTTGGAGTAGGAGATATAATTTTTGCCGTGACTTCCATATAGCAGCTGCAAGTTTCACTCAACGACATCATCCTTCAAGTGGACAACGTGAATAAATGGACTAATGGATTTTTAGGGGAGATTTCCATCCTTAGATGCTCTCAAAAGTGACGAAATACCACGAGAAAAATCTATGAATGAGGTGCTGCTGGAGATAGAGTGCACTTAAAATGCAAGCTTCTAGAGGGAAAACTGGAAGCTCCCACATCTTCTACTACTAGAGTTGGGTTTAAGGATCCCTTAGCTAGGGGAAGAACGTGAATACGGAACATCTAGGGGATCCCTAACTTTCTTGAGTTAGGGGTCCCTTAACGGTTAGGGGAGCGACGTGAATATGGGCCTCAGGTTCATCCATAAAGCTTTTCATCCTTTCTAAGATTTGAGCCTGGATTGGTAACTGGCTCAGACAAAGACCTATTGCAAACATGGTGCCCTCATTTATTTTTTCTGCATGTTTTCATGAAGTATACATGTATCAGCATTGGAATTGGCTGATATTGAAAAACCACATGAGCAGTGATCATATTATGATCCATGCATCCCAAGAGAGAAGAAAGTACCCAAGTCTGATTTTATTTTATAGCCATCAACTGGTGCTCCTTAGTCTGTGCAATTTTCCTTATATCACTCAATACAAAGATTGGCAGATTCTCTCAATAAACATGGTTAATGCAAAAAAACTTGCATTTTTTCTCATGCACCTCATATCCTTACTACTAAGCCAGCTGGAAAAAAAGGTTACTTCCCTAACCAGTGGATGCCACTGATAGTCATTCTGGGATTTTGGGACCTGATTGTGGAGACAAAAAACATTGCAAAAGACAGGATCTAAAAAAAATTCAAGAATGAAAAATTTGAATGCCAAGTTAAAATTGCATAATACTATGAAGACAGACATACCTTTAACTGTTCCCACATTGACAACCATGTTTGTTTCAACTGCATTCTGCTTATCCTGGAATAAGAAAACAGCATTGTTTAAGAAAAATTTATAAATGGCAAATACAAATCTAACTTGGAGGGTCGACTAACTCGTTCTGCTTTCTTTTCTGCTACTTCCTGGAAGTATTTGCTGTCATCCTTGCGAGTACCAGCATCATAGAGACTGGCCTTATACTTCTTCATCCAGCGATCATACTTTGCTCTGCGCTTAGCCTCATCCATGGCAATGATGTCTGATTCTTACAAGAGAGAAAAGTTGAGCTGATTCATCAATTCAGAGAACCATGAACTGAACTGAGTGAAGACAAAATGAGCTATTGACTTACCTTTGCAGGGGCAAAAACCCTTGCAAGCGACTTGGATGTTGGTGCTGTGGATACAATTGTGACGCTTCATTCGGCACTCAGAGCTGTAGGTATGATTGTCACTTCCACAGATGAAGTCTGGCCGCACAATTGGGCAAGGTGGACACCTGATACAGCAAATGAATGAAATCATAATGCACAACAATGAGAAACCCACATCCCTGTTTTGATATCCATCATAATGAACTCACTTTTCCTTGTTGTCAGTTGCTTGCTGGAATGTTGAAGTTTCTTCTGTATCATCATCATCATCATCCTTCTGGAGACTATCCATATCCTCCTTCCAAATAACTCTATCTCTGAAAATAAACAATTCAAGACCATGAACATAGGCAGCATAAGATGACAAGGAAAAAACTGAGTACTGAAATATACAGTGGAGTGTGAAAAAATTGCTTTTAGATTTTGGTGGATTTCTACTGCTAGAAGCAATGAATTTTAAAACAATTTTTTTTTTAACTGATTCCCCTTATGATTTTCTATAGAAATACAATAGTCAATAATTGATTCCATCTCCAACTGAATCAATAAGAGCAAAACATCTCTGTTTCATCAATGCAATCAAATGACTTATGGTCAACATGTCAATTCCTTGCCATTTGTCATGCAAGAATTGGTCCAATTTTTAAAGATTTTTTTGGCCTTTGTTCTCTGTGCATTGCTTGAGAATGGATCACAAGTTTTTAGATGGATTTACATCCAGACTGTTGGGTGGTCAGTCAATTGTTTAGGGTACATACTGCTCTGAAAATAGTTTCACTACCCTACTTGCGTGCTTTGGATTATTGTCTTGCTGGAACCACCACCATTGCCCAAAACTGTTTCCTTGCACCAGGAAATAGATGTCCTTGAAGAATTTGAATGTAGTAGGGGCTGTCCATGATCCTTCTGAACGAATGGCATGATACCTGGTCTTTAATGTTGAAGGCTCTGCACACCATGATCTGCCTGTTTGGGGAATTCTCTTGGCCTCCTTGAGTGTTCTGGGACCAACAATGTATTTCTGAACAATTGATAATAGGTTTAATCCAAGTACACTGTCTGGCTCCAATTGTCATCTTTATGTTGCAGTGCCCATTGTATTCACCTCTCTTTTCGCTTCTGGGTCAGCATCAATGTCATTCAGGGTAAAATGCTCTCATCATTAAGTCGAGCAAGGTGGCACTGCACCGTCCACCTGGATACATGCATGCTACTATTCTCTTGCAGTTTCCTGACAATTTCTTCCACCATTGTCTCACTGTTCCTCTAAATCCACTGACCAATCACAATATTGTCATTGGGCATTATACAAGTTTGGCCATTACCACTCCTACACTCTATGGTGCCTCACTCTTGGATCTAGGCCATATTATACTGGACAGTATGGACAAGGATTTTTTTTGACAGGCAATTTCAGCAGCACAGCGACAACCCAGATTCCATTAATGTAAGATGACTGATCATTTTGTTGGCAAACATTTAGCACTAAAACCATGGCCACTTTCAGCAGACTCAATGACACTTTTCCAGATTTGTCATCCTCACTGCTACATAGAGCCCCTCCTTGACCAAGAAAGTTCTGAAACAATCACTCTCAAAACTTCTGGATATATACTTCTGGAAAGTTCCTGTGTTTAATGGCAATTTGGTTGCATTCCAATGTATATGATGGCAGACAGAAACAATTTCAATCATGCTGTCAGGATTATAGGATCATTTAAATCATTCATTGAGTAGGATGTAGAGTCCATAACTTCCCTCTTTGGCAGCTGGATCACTGATTAGGGTACAATAAAACAGGGCTTCATACTCATGTGCTACATTAACCCTTTGGGGTCCAACTATTTTGGATAAGTCAGCACTGTCACCCAAATTTTTTCCATCCCTCATCATGAGGCCAACACAAGATAACTCGGGTGTGGACCCCAAAAGGTTAACTACTGCATTCTGACTCATCTATTCATTCAAATGCCTACTGACATGCAGACCCATGCATGACTTCCACATTCAGTTGAAGCTCCATGTGAGCTTATTGTGTACTAACCAGACAATCACTTCTAATAAGCTATTGATGATGTTAGCTTCATTCAATTCAACCTACCCATTTTTCTTGATGTCCTTCCGATTCACACACACAGCAGTGAACTCATCTTCAAGGAGGCACATCTCCTTCCGATGACACTTAAGTGCCTGACATAAGTCATCTGCAAAAGAAAAGGATTCAAATAACGAATATCAACTTTTTACCAAAAAAGGCTTATTTTCATCAAAGCTGTGCATTCATTAATCTCAGCCAAAATGGGACTTTTTCCACAGACATAGCTAGACATAAGTCTTCCACAGTTTAACTCACTGTTTGGATCATAAATCCAGGTTCGTCCAGGAGATGCACCAGCATCAGTCTGCAAGAGCAAAGCAATAAAGACTTAGTAATTAACATACTGTACAATAACCATAAATAGACTTCCTACTCCAATAAGAACACTGCCATTGAAACATTAATCCTGAACATGCTCATCAAAAACAGTATTAAGCCATTCTGAAAGCACATAATGCTGTTCTTTTTTTCTTTGTATTATAGGACAGGTCTGGACATTTATTTCATGAACATTGAGAACATTCTGGCTTCCTCTTATATATCTATTTACACACTGACCCTGTTTGCAAACCCTGATTCCTGTGGCTTCCTTTGCTAGTTCCACCAACCCCTACATGAACTTCTTTTTCACCCCCTCCCTCTTTCCAGTCAAAAAGCTCCCTATCAATTTCCAGCACAAATCTTATTAAACTCTTGCAAGTTCTTATGGAGCTCATTAAATTAATTGGTCATGATTACTATACTGAAAATTTCCAATATTCAATCACTAGTTTTAAAACCAATATTGTGAGAATACTTTCTCCATGAAGATAGAAAGTAATCTGAATCTGAAAATGGGACTGAAAAATCATGGTTTTCACCTTGTCATGTTTCAATTTTTGTTTCCTAAAACAAAATTCACTGTTATATACACTATACGACTGAACCTAACCATGTCCTGAGGCTCCATTCTCACAAATTGACATTTCTTACAGGATTAAGTATAAGTTACTACACACTGTTTTCAGATTGAATTTGTACTCCCTCCCTCCCCATAGGAGCACTGCTTCCATCAATTGCAGGTAGTAACACCTTCTCAAGGATGACTTTTTGGATCACCTGAAATGAATCCAATGGAAGTATTTCTTTCTCTATTCCAACTCAGGCATACAAATTCAATACAAAAAACTGTAAACATAATGTTCACTTTCAAAAGGCTTCACATCAACCTGGTCTGTTAGGCAAATGCTGGTTGATTTTTTATCATTATATTTGAAAATGTAGGTCTAAGTATGCAGATGACATCTGACTCCCCCTTCTCATGTAGGCCCTGTATGCTAAAATTGAGGCTTAGGCCCAACTTTACACAACTACCAATGTAGTCATAGAGTAACACTTAAAAGGTTTATTGAGGTTTTTTCATTTCAATGTCATGACCACATTTCCCCAAGGGTGGTGTCAAACACCATCTGCCTAATTTCCTGCAGGGATAGAACAGGGTTTTGATTCCAATTAGGGCTGTCACTACTGGATTGTTTTATCAGGCTTTGCAAAGGATCTGGAGATTAGGAAGGATAGTTTTAAACAATTTGCCAGTGTCCACTTACAATGGGACTGTACCAAGCCTGGAAAATGAGTGAAAATAAAGGAAAAAGGAGCCAAGGAGGCAAGAGTTACTTCAACTCAAGACATGAAACAGGTTATTTTTTTAGTTATACTAAGCTAGTGATAATATACCAGTAATTTATTAAGCAACTTACCATTCTCCAGTGTATGAAAAAAAAATGTATTTCCCGCAAACCTGAGACAATGAATTGGAATTTCCTGGGAAGAATATGCAAGCGGACTAAGCGAGCCACCTGCCCACGTGGCTTTGTTCCCGCGAACCACGTTCGCAGGTTCGCAAGGGTTTTCCTAGCCTGCCATTCTCTCCTTTATTACTGCTAATTTAATAGGTCTAGCTATTACTAAGGGAATTATACAACATCACTATTTCCTTACATGTGCATGGGTAAACTGAAAGCAACAAGAAAACCCTACTTGGTGGTGGATCCATGGTGTCTCCACATAGTCAATGAGACAAAATAAAAAGCACTTCTAGTCTATTGAGTAGAAATCACTCCCATTCCTAGTCCTTCCCTAGCTCTGTGAATCCTAAATTCTTCCTGTTTGTCCTGTACTCAGTAAGAATACAAAATCAAAATGCCATTCTTGTCCTTTATTATGCCAACTAGGCTCATGCTCACTTCATTTTCTCCAAGCATATTGGAAAGACCTCTTTCAGATTTATTTTACACTTCCTTTCCATAGAAATAGACATTAGGGTCCTAGGCTACTTCTCCTAAAACAGAGGTGTCACACTGGCGGCCCACCAGTCCATTTTGTTTGGCCTGGGAAGTCCCCTTTAACAGTCGGTTATGGAAAATTACTGCAAATTTCAGCCTGTCTGCATAAAAGATTAGGTATTAGGCTTTAATTGTGGCCCCTGATGGCTTTCATCCAGCCCCCAACCTCATCAAGTTTGACATCCCTATCCTAAAACAATGAGGCATTCTAGCTTCTGAGGAGGATTGCATGAGGAAAGAGGATGGTGTTTGTATTATATTTCCTCCTACTCTGATTCCATGAGAGAAGGAAGCTTACTTTATCCTAGGAAATAGCAGAATAGACAACCAAAGGTGGAGACCACCAAAGACTACAGACAGAGAAAAGAAACTGGAAGAGCATTAATCTCTCGACAGGAATTAAAGGAAAAGAAGAAAACATTCATGGGAATAGAAAAGTTTTATCCCTCAGTGAGGGATAAAATAAAAAATTTTCCTTTTCTCCTTCCCTTTCAATTACTGAATTTGGGTGTTCAGCCTTGCACCTTTTCCCCAAAAATTTTACCCTAAAAGTTAGTGGTACTTGACTCCTTAATGCATGATTTTTTATTTTACAGCTAAAAAAATCTGGTAGGTTTCACTTATGTCCTAGAACACAGAATAAGTGGAAACAATTTTTAAAAATCAAATTTGTAAGCAGTAGGCCTGAAAATGTTATTGTTGCTCATTTGCTACAAACTGCATTTTCAGCTCTCTTAACCCATGCTGCATGGATGCTAGAGAGCTCTCAGTCATTCCATCAATATTCATACATACCTCAACACAAAAGAAAATGTAAAAATACAGATTAGCCTGGACCCTGGATTAGGGTAAAGTATAAGAAAATGAAATATCCAGTTAGTTAGTTAGTTTCATGAACCTAAGTTGTCGGAATAAATATTGACAGTCGCCCAAATCAGTCATAAAATGGACCTTTCCTTGCACAAGGAGGATGGAGTTTCAGGACCACTCTAATGATTTCTCTACCTTGACGTCATAAATACTGCTTTTTATGCCAGTTCTTATCGTAGTATTCAACACATCATAAAATATCACTACTGTCGTACATTGTAGCATCCGAATCAATACCACGCAGAATATTACGATAAGAACTGGCGTAAAAAGCTATATTCATAACGTCAAGGGAGAGAAATCATTCGAGCAGTCCTGAAACTCCATCCTCCTCAGAAAGGTCCATTTTATGACTCCACTTTGAGTGACTGTCAATATTTATTCTGACAACATAGGTAAGTGAAACTTTCAGAAAACAAATTTTGTGCTGTTTCCAATGTACAGTGAAAACTCGTTAACTCGAATCCTGATAAGTCGAAATTCCGCTTATCTCAAAGTTCAAAGCTTGGTCCCGGCGGAACCCCGTAGGACACCATGTTAAATGCTCCGTTTAACTCAAATTCGCTTATCTCGAATTTCTGGATATCTCGAATGAAATTTTCACTCCCTATAGCGATTTTCTCACGGTTAACTCGAATTCTGGGTGAGTAGGGGGGAAAATTCTTCTCGTGGGACTTTTCGATTTTTGAATAGAATGAATGACAAGAAACTCGTTCGGGAGGATGTTCTTTTGTCTTTTTTGTTTTGTTTTTCTGCTTCTCCCTCCTCCCACACAGATGCCTGTGGAGAGGATTAAACCTGAGGATTAAAACCGAGAAGCTTCGGCTATAAAAAAGCAACCTCAAAAATTCGCTCTGTCTCTCTATCGCTCTCACTCCGAGCCATTCTAGTCATATTCTACTTCCTTTACGCCATTTGTGTGGAATGAGCTCACTCGAGAGGAAATTGAAGACTCTGACGCTCGAAAAGAAGGTACACTTGATTCGGACTTGCGAAGAAGGCCAGCTGAAGAAGAAAGGCATCGCAGAGAATTTCGGGATTCCTCCCTCTACTCTCTNCGAAACGATTTGCCCGGTCCCTAAAAGTTCGAGTTAACGAGTTTTCACTGTAATATGAAAATATCACGAACCTAGACCATCCACAATGAATTTTATAAGGTGTCAAACACTACGTTTTTTTTTGCGCCTATCAGTATAATACAGCACTGCACATGGGATAGCCATGAGAGTGAAAATATTCCAATAGAAATATACACTGTAGAACATACGCATACACTGCTCTGGTGACACCTGCAAGGCATGACACAAAAGATGCCTTCCACACCTCATAAATCTTAAGTTTCAAAGATAACCAACTCAGTGTCATAAGGTGAAAGAATGAACTGAAGATTAAGACTGATAGAAAACAATGATGAAGAAGATAAGAGGAACCCTCATGTCCTCAGACACTGTCATGACTGAGAATGTGAGTGCCAGCTTCGGTATGCTGATATATCCCTGGTCAGCCCCTCAGTGTAATGATGTAAACTGTTACAAACTGGTATGATCAGAAAGTTCCGTTCTGTTATATCGTTCCTTCTCCCTCATTCATATCATTCCATTCCGGGTGAAATAAAAAATTCTGTTCCGTTTTACCATTCCATTCCAGCTCCAACACCCTGATATATAGACAACTATATCTTGTTGTTTTTATATGTTGTTCCCCCAGTTTGGCCTGAATATCCCTGGAGTGGCCCATGAGAAACCACTTTTAACAAGGTGTAAATACTTGTGAGTGGTTCATGAGGACTTTTCCCTTTATGTCAATACCGAAAGTAAGAGTGTCTCATGCAAGGGTGGAGCCAATATGGATAAATACAGTAATGTTGCATGGGCATGCTTACAGCAATTTTCAATTGAATTCACTCATCCTTTACCAAGGTAGATGCAGATAGTATTTAGTAAGTTAGTAATAGCTCTACAACAGATGTCACCCTAGAGGAGGGTTTGTCATCCCCTGGTTGAGTTTACTTCTAAGGCCTTCCTGTGCCAGTCACATTTGTGATCCCAATGTGGCCTTGTTATCTGCATGCAAACTCATTTGCTAATTTGCTGAAGAAAATAATTTTAAAATTTATCCGGGTCGAAAATGTACTTCGCATTCACAAAAGATTGTTATTTTGGAAATGCACATTGGTCTAGTCTCACATCTTGCTGGCCTTCAGAAGGGATTAGGAGGGTCAGGGGGGGGATTATAGTGGAAAGCACAGTACATTAGAAATGACTGTTTCTCCCCTGCAGGAAAGTGGCATAATCACCATACGTTACACTGCACGAGAAGGAAGAAGTTGAGCTTGGCCACAAGGGCAGGCCTAAGTTAGGCTACACAGATGACTGCAGTTGATTGACCTTGATAAAATTACTTTATACCCAACATGCCTAGAAATTGGTTAGTCGTTGGCTCTAGGCCCTTAAGATCTGGTTAAATAGCTTATGAAACCAACCTCATCGAAGACGAAATCAGACTCAGAATCTTGCTGTTTCTTGTGATGCTTCCCTAATGCAACCCCAAGGAAAAACAATGCTGTCCACCGTATGAACAGCATTTTAGTAGCCTAGCCTAATGTATCCAGGCGGGAAGCTGCAACTAATCCAAGGGAGACCTCTCCTTGAGGCCTAAGCCTATCAAGATTTCGCAATGACCTATGAACGACATCCACTGCACAGCGACCATGCGCATTATTAGTACAACGCCATATTCGAATTGACCAAGGGCGAGAAGGAATAGAGGAAGACGCGGGACGGGCCCTTATTCAATGGGGCAGCGAAACGTGATATACAGGGTGAGCCATAAGTCCGGACACCACTAGATAATTTGTAGATTGATATATTTCTTCTTTTTTTTTTGCAGCTATTGAACCAGGGCATATTGTAAGAAAAAATCAGAACTGCACAAACGATTATTATTATTTAGGTGTTTCTATCGATGAGGACCTCAAGTTTTCCTCGCACACGCAAGCGACGGTGGCCGTCGACTCGGGGAGTCGATCCTCCGGAGCTTCCAGCGGACCAAAGATCCTAGCGAAGCCTCGGCCCTTCTCAGCTCGCTAGACCAGGCCAGGCGTGAAAGGTGAAGGGAGGCTATGGAGAAACTGAATTTCACCCACTCCAGTAGGGCAGCTTGG